ACTATAAATGAATGGATGAGTGGTGGAATGAATGAAGGAATGAATGAATGGATGAATAAATGAAAGAATAGATGAATGGATGCAAAGATGGATTTTAAATGGATAGAGGTATGGATGTAAATATGGGTTTTAAATGGATGGATGTATGGATGCAAATATGAATTTTAAATGGATGGATGAATGACAACAACAACAATAATAATAATGATATTAATGATATTAATTTTATTATTACCATTTTTTTCATAATTTTCTTGTCGGGGTTAAACTTATTCCTGGCATGATTATGGAAAAACAGAAAGGAGTTTCTCTCTTCATTGGTCAGAGTTATATTAAGATCCAAGTTTGATCTCTTTGGTTTCGGCTTCGTTTTAGATTCCAGCTGTTTTCGAATGTTTTAAAACATTTTATTCATAATAATAACAATGACGACGACGACGATGAAGTAGAAGAAGATGACGATGATGCTGGTGATGATAATGATGTTGTTGTTGATGAAGATGATGACGACAACGCCGGCGATGATGGTACTAATCATGATAAAAATAATTATAATAACCATTCCATACGCTCTGGGAATTTTTGAGATACAAAATACATTAAAAATAATGATCACCGTTATTATTTTAACTTTATTACCCTTGTTACCTGTGTTATTATTTGTAATTTTATTATTGAAAATCATTTTTAAATTTACAAACGTTTGAAAGTAAGAAATATATGTTGTTATAGAATAGACATGTAAACTACTGCTATTTTCTTGTTTTTAAGTGGTGAAAAACATAATAGCTGACGTTTAAACAATTGAAAGTTTTATAAAAAATATGTAGGATATGTAGGGGTCAAACATTCATTTATTAACTATCTTATGTATTAATTATTATTAAAGATTATTGCAATTTTCAATGTTACCTAATCTATGCTAACTTTTATGTCTTTGCTTCTCTCTCGACTTCTACCCTTTCTCCTGATAGCTTGTAAACGAAACGGTTTGAGATTCACGTGGGAATAAAGATAATATTTTATTACGCCTGAATTGTGTTTGTTTTATTTGTTTTAACTCACAACAAGGTGTCTTGTTAGTAGCATAAGTTCGTACTAACAAATTGGTGACCCCGACGTGATGATGGTGATAGCTGTGAGCTCCAGAATGTAAAATATTTATTGATCATAGAGATGATAATTGTTAAAATTATAATTTTGATCTATTTGCGCCCTTTATTTTTAAAAAAACCTATCAAGATCGAGATCGAATAAGTAAAAAGAGTGTGACTATAGTTCTATCCTAATAAAAGCCTGCCTATGGCATCAGTAAGCCACGGTATTTCACCGGACAAAAAGCAATTTTTATATTCAAATTAACAAAAATAACTTTAAAATATTACATTATAAAACATTATAAAATAAAATAAAACATTATTCGATATAATAACATTGTTATAAGCATAATAAGTTAAGAAAATATTTCATGTAGTTTGTTCGTTAAAACTCGAGCAATTTCATGAGTGAGCCAATAAGCCAACAACAATCCAGGAAAGTCAAATAGTCTGACTCGAAGCTAAGTTTACTTTTAGTTTTAAAGTTTTGTAAACGCATAAGTTTTTTTTATGTTAATTTTTATTAGTTAATTTTAGGATTTTTATGTTCCTAATTTCAATATTTTTATATGATTAAGTTTGTGAAGTATTTTTGTTTTAGTAATTCCATACCGTACCATTTATTATTATTTATTTATTTAATAATTAATTAAAATATTTAATTTCTTAGTTTTATTTAATTAATATTTAAAATTTAAAAATATAATACTTATTTGTAAAAAAAATATGAAAAATTATATTGCATTATGCTACGGATCTATCTCATTCTTCATCAACATTCTCCACAATATTTTCCTAATCTATCACGTAGATGTCTTCCTGAATGTCTACAAAATCGACAAGACGTCATTTTGGGTTGGGGAAATAATATTCCTAATTTGGAATTCCCTAAATGATCCAATATTTGGGTGGATTAGTGATAGAAAGTATTTAAGCAATGACCACGAAAAGAATAATAGCTTCAATATAATTGCAAACAGATTGAATAAATTACACATAAATGGACCCCTGCTATCCATAACATTTATATTCTTTTGGTTATCATGGTCATTTCCTGCCATACAGTTTGTCGTCTGCCTGTGTTTATATGATGGATTCTTAACAATGATTGATTTGCATCATTCTGCACTACTGGCCGACTTGTCAATTTCTACTGAAATTAGGACAAAATTGAATATGCACTGTTCTGTGTTTAGTGCACTGGGGTCAATGTTTGTGTTCGTGTCATATGCTGTTTGGGACAAAGATAATTTTTTCCCATTTCAGAAATTTTGCTTTCTAGTTGCTATTATAGCATTCTTTGGTTTCTATGCTAGTGTAAAGTTGATGAAAAATGAACTTAAGCATTCAACTATTCATGAAAAAATGTAAGTGCTGCTTCATAATTATAATAATAATTATTATTAATTATTATAATAATAATAATTATTATTATTTCAAACAATAGAGATGAATTAGATGAAGCAACAACAGCAACAACAACATTGATGAGAGACAACAAAGATGCTATGAAATGTTTCATTAAACAACTTTCAGGGCAGTCCAACTTCCTTTGGTTCACTGCCATGAACCTTGTTCAAGTACGTTTATAGATATAAAATATATATATATATATATATATATAGAGAGAGAGAGAGAGAGAGAGAAAGAAGGAGGCTGAGAATCTGGATAGGCTTTTTAAAAATTGAATTTTTCATGTCTGCTGTGAATCTTCTTCAGGTATGTTTATATAAATAAAAAGAAAGAGGAGGTGAGAGAAAAAGAGAGAGAGAATGAGAGAGAGATTTAGAGAAAGAGAGGGAAAGAGAGAGAGAAAGAGTTAGAAGAAATGTGAGAGACATGATTATTATAACAACGATAACATTTGTTTGTTTTCAGGTCTTTCACTGCCACTTCAATAGCAACTTCTTTCCAATGTTCCTAACCGTCTTACTTGGAGAAAAGACTTCGCCATTTGTCTGCTCATTACTTCTCGGTAAATTAATTAATTATTTAATTATAGCCATATAACTGATTATTTTTTTATTATATAATCATCATCAAATACTTATTTATATATATTGATTGATTGAATATGTCCTGGTTACGACATTAAACTGACCCTCACTGCCTTGTTAGTGATGTTGGATCATCAAAGGCTAGGCCCACAGCTTATAACTGTGGTTGCGTAAGGAAGAGCGTCCTGCGTAAAAATTAGCCAAATAAATTACTTATGATGGAATGGCGTCGAGGGGTATTTCGGTTTCATCATAGGTAGCTAAACGGCAGCCCCCGATCTCGGGGAAAATGTCCTCTAAACGTGTGTTGTTGTTGTATGGTTATAATATGAGTATTTGTTGACAGTTTTGAGTGTTTTTTGAGTTGTAAATTTGAGTCATTTTATTTGATCAGCGTTAGCTACGTAGATAATTAGAAATAATAACAGCGATATTAATATGGAATAGTAAATTCATAATTTTTTCACTCAATTCATCCAGGTGTCTCTTTCATTGCACCTCACTTGAATAATATCTACTTCCTGATACTCTGCCGGAAGTACGGGGCATATGACGTCATCAAATACTTATTTATTTTGAAGTTGTCCTTTGCTATTTTGGTTTTTTTCTGCGGCGGGCAGAACGTCTGGCTGCTGGCGTTCTTCATCGCTAGGTTTGCATAATTCTGCTCTACATTGTTTGTTCAATTGTATGCGTGTTTCACACACACACACATATACATACATACATATACACGCAACAAACACGCACACATACAAAGATAATAACCTAGAAGTACAAACACACACACATAAACATGCACACACCAACACAAACACTCACACACACACAAACACACACTATCGAATCTTAAAAATAACTTCCCAGTAACAGAATATTCACAGAGGGAACTTGCAAACTACTGAACCTTGTAATCACTGACTTAGTGGACGAGGATGTAGTAATAAACCAGAGGAGTAATTCAGTGTCTGCACTCATGTTTGGCGTCGTGGCCTTCTTATCAAAGCCTGGCCAGACCATGGCGCCTGTCATAGGCACTGTTCTCCTGTCAACATTTACAGGTTATTTTTACATACATACATACATACATACATACGTACATACATACATACATACATACATACATACATACGTACATACATGCGCGTCTGTGTTACCGAAAATTTTCAATTAAACGCCGACGTGAGCGAATAACGAGATATCAATTGTTAACCGATTTTATTCAGATGTTTGACTGTTTAGTGTCACTCATCGCTGATTTGGTTTCAACTTACATACATACGTACATACATACAAACTCACTCATACACACACAGACAAACAAACTTGCACAAACAATCAAACAAGCATCTATGCATGCACACCCAGATTTAGTAATAAGGTTATTTTTTAATTTATATCAGGTAGAGATATATTCCAAACGAGAACCAACGAAATGAGAGGAGTAAAAAACATAGACATAATATCACTAAACCACCAGGTAGACGACAACGGAAACGTACCTAATATCGCTCATAACTCTGATACCGCTTACACTAATCAGGAGAATTCCTATCAAGATGGCGTCTTCAATCTGTTAATCATAGTCCCAGTGATGTGTGCCATTTTGCAATTATTTTTTTGGTTCAATTTTACCTTGCACGGTAAGAAATTGTCGCAAATTAAGACATTGAGAGCCAGTTTGAAGTTTGTAAGCGTTTGAAAGGCGTGAAATTATTATTATTATTAATTATAATTATCAATTATTATTATGATTAATTATGATCAATTATTGTGATATATATCAACTATTTTTCATCCAATTATCATCATCACCATGTTTTATAATTTGTTCCAATCATCACCACTGCTACAATCAATTCTTCTACTCAACGTTATTTATTCTCCGGTAATCATGACGTCATTTCCGTTATCATCATCATCATCAACAACAACAACAACGAAAACACAATCATGTTTTAAACGTCATCTTCACTATCATCGTTGGTTGCATTTTGTCAGTATTATGAAATTTATAATAATGAGAATCATCTCGTTTAATCATTCTCGTCATCACTATCTATCAAATATCATCATACTATCGATTGGATATCATCATACTATCAATTGGATATCATCACGCTATCAATTAGATAGTATCACACTATCAACGGACATCACCATGCTATCAATCTGGTATCATCATACTATCAATTGCTCAACATTCCAAGAAATGTGTAATGACAATTGCTATCATTATTAATGCTATTGTTGTTAGATAATCATGTTACTAGCATGTAACGATTAGGTTATTGTTATTTATTTATGTTATTCTTTTGTTTGTGTGTGTGTGTTTTTCACCATCTACCACTGATAAAAAAAATCAAAGAGAAGTTATTTTCTCCACGTAGGCTTTCGTGTTGTAGTATGTTACGCATGTATTTTTTTTTTGGCATACATGTAAATTTTAATTATTTATAATTAAATGAAGATGTAATTAATTGAAAAAAAATAAACAATCAAATTAATTAATTAGTTAGTTAAAAGATTATTGTAGATAATTAATTTTATTACACTTCTTTTGGACTCCCGATCAGCTGCTAATAAATTGATTCAATCTCTGATCGTGTAATATGATTAAGCTATTTAATACTTACAGTTTTATTCTGTATATTTCTTCATTCATTCATTCACTCACTCATCCATCCATTCACTCACTCATCCATCCATCCATCCATTCATTCATTCATTCATTCATTTTAACAAAGCAGCCTATTTTCATTAACTAAATTCTTATTAATCTAACATTCACATATACATTATATATACCGCATACAACGTCAGAATATATGTGATTATATATTATATATATATATAATATATATATAATTTATATATATTATATATATATAAATAGTATTTTTTTTTATTAAATGCAGGCTTTTTGCATTTTCAAACAAATAAATTGAGGAAATAAAATAAAATTATCCGGGAAAATTATCTTAAAAAAAAATGTGTATTTTTATTGTTATTAAATACACACACACACATGAACGCACACAAACACACACACACACACACACACCTAATATACATCTATACTCAATAAAACACAGGCATACATGCACACAAACTAGTAAATAAATAGCTACGAACAATATGCTAATAAATACATAAATAAACATAATAATAATAATAAAGATAATAATAATAATAATAAGGTCAGTATATATAACAAAAAAAATATGTACAATAATGAGAACAGGAATAACAATAGCATTAAGCTTGTTGCCGTTTTAATTAAATGAAATATATAGATAATAATAATAATATTTATAATAATAATTATTATTATTTGCATAAATTGCTGACGTCACCGTCATCTTCATCCGGTTTGACGATCTGATAAGTGATAAGGTATTGCGGGTAAGCCTGGCAAATATTAATAAAAGTTATGATAATATCTGATGTTGATTCGTAATTATGATGATTGTGATGATGTTGATTGCGATCGTGATCACCAACCAACCAGCCAACCAACCATCCAACCAACCATCCAACCAAACAACCAATCAGCCAGCCATCCAACCAACCATCCAACCAATGGTTGCGATTTTGTTGATAATAACGATGATGATGATAGTAACGATAACTAAACTGGTTATCATCATATCGAAATGACAAAAAAAAACTAACTAGAAGGAATGATGTAACTACAATAAAAAATTCATTTAAACTAACATTTTGTTCCCCCCCAACGTAAAGAATGGACTCACCTGTTCGCCCCTATAAACGACGTATTCAGCGTAGTTGAGGCCTCCCGGACTGGGCCTGCCACTTACGGAGTGGTGACCTGGCGGGGCGTGGGCCATTTTCATGGCGTTTGATTGGCTGAAGGATTTGCCCAGAGTCACTCGGCATAATAACATTTGTCTGTGGAAATTTTTAGGAATGGGTTGATTGGATGGTTGATTGATTGTTTGGTTGATTGATGGTTGATAGATTGGTTAGTGATTTCACCAATTTGTGATCGATCAATAATAAATCAGTTGTGCCATCAATCAACTTATAAATCGGTTTAAACAATTTAGAAATTAATCTTTCCCTAAATAAACAACCAACCAGTCAACCAACCAACCAACCAGTCAACCAACCAGCCAGTCAACCAACCAACTAGTCAACCAACCGACCAACCAACCGACCAACCAGTCAACCGACCAACCAACCGACCAACCAGTCAACCGACCAACCAACTGACCTGTGGCAGATATAGCAGGACTTGTCCTTATGTTGAGGACAGCCCGTACCGCCACCAATACCGTAAACATACTGGTTGCTTTTTGAAGAATTTTCGGCGAAATATAACCCTGATAGTGAGGTAGTGGGGCATTTGCGATGATGATGTTGGTGGTGATAATGGTGGTGATGATGGTGGTGATGATGACAATAATAACGATAATGGTGATAGTGTTTTTAATGATGACGACGACGATGAAAATGATTGTCGAGTTGATTGATTACGACGAGATAACATCGTCTATGATGATGATGATAATAATGGGCCTTGCGTTAAATTAGTCATCATCATCATCATCAACAAAATCATCATCATCATCACCACCACCACCAATGACGTCATCCTCATCATCATTATCATCAACAACAAAATCACCATCACCACCACCACCAATGACGTCATCATAATCGTAACTGACCGGCTCCAAACATCCCGCCAATGTAAGCGTGCCTCTCGTCAAATCCCTTCTGTACGATGGAGTGCATGAAAAGAGAGCCGTGGAAGAGCAGGCGTTCATTGTCACATCCATTGTTCTCCTCGCTTACCTAGTTCATACGTTCGTTCATCGTTTGTTCGTTCGTCCGTTTGTACACACACAAGAACATATACATACGTACACATACACATACATGTAAACAGATACAAACACATACACACCCATACAAATGTAATAAACAGACACAAACACACACCACAACAAAATACAAACTTCTTTTTTTTTCAGATACACATACATACAAATGTAATACACATACACAAACACACACAACAACAAGATACACACCTCCTTTTTTTGATGTTCATATCTGGCTAAAAGCTTCTTATTGTGTACCTTTTGTATCTTTACCAAATTAAACCTTGTATAAATACCACCACAGTTGTCTTTGTGCTCTTTAATTGATGACTGCATCTGATCCTCAACCGTAATGTATTCAATGTCATTTGCCGATAACTCTATTAATGTTGTGCTGTTGTTGTTTTGTTGTTGTTGTTGGTGTGTTGGTGTCAGTCTGTCCAGGATGAAGTTGTTTCTGTTGTTGTTGGTACTGGTGGTGGTGTTTCTAGAAATGCCTGTTTTTATTTTTGTGACAGAGAAAGTTATTAATTGATTGAAAGTTACTGCTGAATGAGAATAAATGAAATAAAATGAAAAAGAAAGGAAGAGAGAGAGAGAGAGAGAGAGAGAGAGAGAGAGAGAGAGAGAGAGAGAAAACAAAATAAAACAGAAGGCGAGAGAAAAAGCAAGAGAGATAAAGAGACAAAGAGAGAGATAGAAGAGAAAGATACAACGAAAGACAGAAAAAGAGAGAGAGAAAATGTAAAAGAGGGAGAAAGAGAGAGAGAGAGAGAAAGAGAGAGAGAGAGAAAGAGAGAGAGTCACCTTGAGCAGACAGGAGTTTTTCAACTTTCTTAATGATCTTATGCCGATGACCGAATGCCAAAACCCCAATGGCTTTCAGTTCATCATGTCCCATATCGATAAGGATGTCCATTGATATTTGTTCACGCCTGAAGATGTTCGAAAGCTCTGACAGGTTGATCTCTTCTAGAAAATTCGAAATGTTTATGTTTTCTAGAGGTGTTGTAGTTGCCGCCGTTGCTGTAGCTGCTGCTGCTTGCAGTAACGACGTTGGCGACGAGAGGTTGGATTGATTTGCTGATGCTGTAGCAACTGTAGCTAAATATTCGTTTGGCGAAAGATGTGACTGGGATGAATTAACAATTGCTGTTGTAGCTGCTGCTGCTACTGCTGCTGCTGTGGCTGTTGTGGCCGCTGCTGGAAGATTTAATTTACCCAACACTGAATCTAAATCTTTTGTAGAACTACTGTTTGAGAAGAGCAGCATATCTGGCAGTGAGTGCTGTGGCTTGTGGTTCGACGACATCGACTGCAACTGCTGCTGATGTGGATGTTGTTGTTGCTGCAGCGTTTTATTGAGTTTTGATGATGGTGGTGGTGGTAGTGATGACGCATATGATGGTGACGTCATTTCTACGGTATTCGAAAGTTGCTGCCGATGATCATTGGCCGTTGATTTGAAAGCGAGATTATGTCCTCCCTCATTCTGCTGCTTCACAGCTGGCAAGCTGTTGGTCGGTCGGAATACAATTAACAATTAACGTCATCGTCATTACGTAATCATCATCACCACCATCATCATCATCGTGCAATCATCATCGTCATCACTCTACTCGCCAAGAAGTAAAATCTTTAGAAACGGCTAACGATGAACACAGGGGCAGAGCAGTAGCTGAAGCAGCTATCGTAGCTGAAACAGCTGCCGAGGAAGCTGTAGTTGCTGCTGCTGATGATGGTATGACAACGACATCATCGCATCCATCCATGATGGGCATAGCTGCCTGGAGTATTGCTCTCACGTCATCAGCCTGTTGAAAAAAGATTAAAACGGTGATAAGAATGATGATGATAATGATG